GAGCTTGGCCACTGCCATGTCTGCTGGATCTCCCAGTGTGGAGCGAAGGCTGAGGGCTGCTTGTATGCTGGGAAGGCCCCGTGCGTTGTAACCCTGCAAGGCCACATGAGACTCCCAGAGTCACATCTAACTCTGCCCCATCGTTTTCAGGATGCAGAGAATGGCCCTGCTGTACAGGGCTGTCTGCATGCCCAGTGCCTGCTCTGTGTAATCCTGGAAACCTGGGGAGCACTGGAGCCTTGCAGCTGATTGAGGAGCTCCTGTGCAGGGCTGGGCCATGCTGTCCATCACCTGTCTTTGCTTGGTCTGCCCCTGCAGATGAAGCAGCTGATGGGGCAGTGGGTGCAGGGGACCACAAGGTGCAGGTGGTGGGAGGACACCAGGTAGGGAGGCTCCCTGTCCTTCCCCAGTGAAGCTCCCAAAGAGCGTCCTGACCTGTTCCAGTGCCTGCAGCTCTGGAGGTAGCTAGAGGAGAAGATGGAGTTTCTGCCATGGAGAAGGAAGGAGATCATCTTCTCTGAGCAAGTGACATGGCAGCATCGCGGAGATATGGTCCTCATGCTGGACAACAGAGATGTGTCGTGGGGAGTACACAGTGGGCACTGCTATGAGAAGCGATAAGACCGCCTGTGTCCCCCAGTGCCACCACACTTTGTTGCAGGCACATGGGAACTCTTGCTTGGACAACAGGACTGTTTCCATTGCAAAGAAAGCTGGCAGGAAAGTCCTGGGCTTGGTGAGCTCATCCAAAGAGCTGCTGCTGCTGTGAGGAGGGAGCAGCCAGTTCCTGAGAGCATCACGAGCAGTGGTGCTTGGGTACAGCTAAGCTGCTGGCTTTAGCCTCCCAGCATCTCTGTGGCCACCTGCTTGGCCTTTCCATGCCTTGAAAGACCAAAAGCATCCTGGAGGCAGGGGAAGGGGCCAGGCCCAGCAAGCATAGAAAAAGACAACCCATTCTTGCAGAGAGAAGCCTACAGTGGGGCAGCAAGAAGCGATGTCTCAGGCCTCTCCCCTGTCCACATCAGTTTGGGTGTCAGCACATCTGGCCTGGCAGATGATGCCTCCCCTTCTCTCTTTCAGGGAAGAG